GGCCTTATACCAATAGGGCTAAGATGTTTTCACTTCTCATTTAATTTTTTAGAATTTGGGGTTTTCAATTTTGCTTCTTTATTTTATTCTTGTAATATTGATTGCTATGGTGTATGTGTATTGTGGGAATTGGGGGTAGGAAATAGCCAAATAGGAATTGGAATTGTAGGCTGCACTTCCAAATTTGGATGTTGGATGTGTCCATTTTCATATGAATTAGAATATCCATTTATTTCACTTTGGACATTTTGTGGGATTCAAACCTCTATCTTTGACAAARACCCTACTCTCTAAAAGCAGAAAATTATAGAATAATTGAAATTAAAAATAAAACTGCTAAGTCCTCCCCTCTTATTACAAATTTTCCTTTTGAAAATGGTTAATAAAATTTAAGGTGGTCGCCCCTCCACCTAGAGTAAAGTTTGGGGTTACAAAAAAAAATGCTAACATATCTAAAATAAATAAATCAATAAATAACTCAAAGTGTATATTATTATCCAATAAAATTAAGTAATAATAAGAATTTCTTTTATAACAATATAAAAGAGAAAAATATGAGCTAAACATAAGGAACTATTTGGGATGGCATAACAACGATATAATAATAAAGAGCAATCATAAAAATAAAAAATAAAGAAAAATAAATACTTGTATAGAATATTTAAAGTATTGGTTTAATAAAATTTTTTGACAATTATTATTCATATTCAATTGGAGCGTGGGTCAGAACTTCATGTCTCGCGAAAACAAACTCTCAATTCATATTTATTCCAATGCATAGATGATTCAATTCACATGAGTAGGGATGCCAATGGACTGGTTTTGGATTGAACCCCATCCAAATCAAAATCAATTTAGATGGATTGGATGGATCAATAAGACATATTGAATTGGACCTATCCAGACTTAATGGTCCCAAGTATTTATTGGATTGGACTAGACCTGGTCCATCCATGATAAATTTATATTAGATTGGGTTGGATTAAGACAATATCTGGTCTATTGATATAAGATAAGAATATAAGCGTCAATGGACCAGATTTGGGTTTAAACCAATCTAAATTAAAACAATTTTGAACAGATTAGATGGTCCATACATTGAATTGGACCGGTCCAAAATGGTCCAAATAATCATTGGATTGGATTGAATCTGGTCTATTTGTAATGAATTCACATTGGACTGGATCGAATTGGACAAATCCAGTCCAATTGACACCCCTACACATGAGTATGGGACAGGTGGATTGATTTATGGCCCATTTGGGAGGGCACCAAAAAACTGCACCAGGAGTCAGGTTCCAATGCCAACTTTCCCTCTTTTGTGAGGTCTTTGACTCTCCAAATCTTCACAAAATCTGCTACCGATTCAAGGAAGCAACGATTCACCTCAAACAAGTTTCTGACCTTATTCTAAATCTCATAGGAAAAGCAACAATGAAGTAACAAATGGTTGACTGACTCGGTATGATTCTGACAAAGCACACAAGCAGTTGTGTCCAGCAGAATACCCTTCTTCTCCAGATTATCCCTAGTTAGAATCCTGTTCAGGTAGGCTGTCCAAACAAAAAACACCACCTTTGTGGGCACACTCCAACACCATATAATGTTAACTGGGATTGGCTCATCCTCTGATCTAGAAAAGTAGTTGTAAAAGGATCTAACAGAGAAGACCCCCGAGTTCTCCCACTTCCAGACTCTTCTGTCCTCTCTCCCTGCATCCACTTGAGTACTATACAGCATGTGCAGCAACTCCACCAGAGATTCCACAACCCCATCATTCAAATTTTGCCGGAAGAGAGGCACCCAAACAATGCTTCCATTTTGCACCTGCAAATAGTCTGAAACAAGAGCATCTTTATCCAAAGCTACTTCAAACAAAGTGGGACAAATAACCACCAAGGGTCTGTATATCTTTCCAGAGAAGAACTCACCTCCCATTCCCAACCCCAAAGAGAATTCCATTTGAATAAAGACCATTGACTTTCCCCTTTCCAAACAGAACATCCATAGGATTGATTTGGTTCCCCCATGGCCCAGCCAGAATTTCTATACCCATACTTAGCTGCTATCACCCTCCTCCACAGACCACCTTGATTCTCACCAAATCTCCAAAACCACTTTCCCAGTAAAGCAGGGCTGAGATCCTTCACTCTTCTCACACCCAAACCCCCTTGAAGTTTGGGTTTGCATATCTTAGACCAGCTAACCAGCATGAACTTTTTCTTCTCATCCCTCCAGCCTCTCCACAGAAAATCTCGAATCTTCCTCTCTAAAGACTTAGCCGTCCCATTAGGAATTGGGTACAAAGAGAGCAATACAAAGGGAGGGAGGATAACACACTTTTTAGCAGAATTATCTTACCTCCATATGATAAATACTTAGTTTTCCAAGAAGCCAATCTCTTGTCTAATCTCTCCACAATAGGCTCCCATATCAATTTGGAGTTGCACCTAGCACCTAAAGGCATCCCCAGATATTTCAGAGGGAGTTTACCTGTTCTACAACCCCATTCCTCTGCCAACCTCTCTAGCTCTGGCACTTCCCCCACAGCGACCAATTCACTTTTTTGCAGGTTTCCATGAAGGCCTGACACAACCTCAAACCACTGAAGCACTGCCATTACATAACCAAGTTGTTCAGCTGAAGCATCACAAAAAATGAGAGTGTCAATCTGAAAACTGCAGCAAAGAAACCTCCACCCTTAAGTTTCCACCATAAAAACTTCTACAAAGCCCCCTGGTGTGGCCCTTTTCATCAATCTACTAAGAACTTCAGTCACACAAATAAATAGTAATGGGGAGAGAGGGTCCCCTTGCCTTAAGCCCCTAGAGATCCTAAAGCGACCACAAGACACTCCGCTTACCAAGGCTGAAAAAAGAGTATTCAAATAGACTTTCATCCAATTTCGCCATCTGCAAATCCTCATTACTGATCATCTTCCTATAGGTTGTACCCTCTGCATACCCCCTCTCTCCACAACCCCCTCGGCCCTTTCTTGTCCTTATGGCTCTTGTTTTGTGCAACTGCCATCCATCTACACCTCTGCATACCCATTTTTCTAGCAATTCGCATAACCATTAAGCAATTTTTCTTAATGTTTCAATGTTAATTAGTTCATCCAAGTAATGTCATCCATTTCCTAATTCCATTCCATTCCAATTCAGGAATCTAAACTCTAATATCAATTATATATCCACCTAAAAAAACAGACCTTTTATATTTTTCAATACAAAGGGGCATGTCAACATGGATCATACACAAAAAATTATAGGCTTTATTTACCAAAAAATGCAGACTAATAGGCCCTCTCACCTATCCTTTTCGCCACTACCCTCTCACCTAGTTTTGCGTTGCAACTTGCAATCTTCACAACTATGCTTGACATCAAACAATAAGAAATTCTTTTTGCAACAATATAGCTGACAATACAAAATAGTTTCAGAAAAAATCAATATACATGTATAAAAATAAACCCAGAAAAGGAAAAAGGGAAAGAAGACATACTTCCGGCCCATAGACATCAAAGTATGCAGTATTATTGGTCTTGTCATTGTTGTTCTTGCTATCACTATCTTCTTTTCTTGTTTGGGTTTCGCGTTTCTGGCACGAAGAAGTCATCTTGGGCATCCGCCGAGAAGAGAGAAAACTATCGTTGAAAGAAAAATTGCAAGCGAAAGGGGCGTAAGAAGCATACAAGGGAACAGTGAGAGGAAAACCCATATAAAAGACCGCCGGCGAGGGAGGTGGAGGGGAATTTTCTACAAGGTTTTAAAAACCGAGCCGAAAATGCAACCCTTTTTTGCCACCGGTTTGTGGGTCATCCGTTCGACCGTCCGGGTCAAGCGGTTCGAACGTTAAAACTATTAAAAATTTAAAGGGCAAATTTCTTAAACTTAAACTATCCTTGTAGTTTAATTAATTGACTAACTTATCCTTACTGTTTACATATTATTTTAAAGTAGTACTACTATTTCTGATAATGACATCGTTGTTAAGTGCTAATGGAAAAAATAAAATGTAAAATTTGTTTCCCAATATTTCTCAATTTTTCAAAATAAAACTCAAAGATAGGAAGTTGATCACTACTCCCTCTCTATCTCCATCTTCATCTTCGTTTCCGTCTCCATCTCTATCTCCGTCTCTATATCTGTTTCCATCTTCATCTCCACCTCTGTTTTTGTCTCCATCTCCGCCTCTACCTTTGCTTTTTGTCTTTATCCCTGCCTCTATATCCGTTTTCTGTCTCCACTTTCATCTTCATCTCCATTTCCATCTTCGACTCTTTGTTTCTACTTCCATCTTTGTTTTCATTTCCGTCTTTGCCTCCGTCTCCATCCCCATCATTGTTTCCATTTCCATTTTTGTTTTTGTTTCCGCCTCCATCTCCATTTTTGTCTCTACCTCCATCTTTGTCTTTTAGGCTATGTTTGGTTTAGAGGAAAAGGCAGGGAAAAGGAAGAGAAAGACAAGAAAACCAATACAAGGGTTGTAAAGGTTTCCCTACTTTTCTCTTCATTTCCTTACATTTTCCTTCAAACCAAACATAGCCTTAGATTTTCAGCCTCCACTTCTCCTTCCTCTCCCAACACGGCTTTTTCTTGCATGCTATCTACTACAATTTCTCTGGTCCTCGCCAAAAGCTCCACTTTAATCTGCATATGAAAACTTGTGCATGCCATTAATGAAACCAAATCGAAGAGAAGCATCCTCTCTCTCAACTATTACTTGTTATTATTAGTTTATGTTTCCTATTACAATTTCTTCTATGGCTCAAATAGAATTTTGACACAGATGAAGCCAAAGTTATCCAACAATATATACAAAGAAGAAAATTGAAAAACCAGTAAAGAACAAACTCCAGTCACTCAATTAACAAAGAGCAAAAAAGTCGTGAAATAACCCTTATTTGCAAACATTTGGTTTAATATGTTTCATCTTGGTGTAAATAGAAGAGATGGACTGGAATCGCCTTTTCTTTGCCATAGAAATCACTACCTCTTCATCGACAATCTAATGGGCGTAGCTTGTATAGGTTTTAGTCAAGGAAGAAATGTTGAAGGAGAGGAATTACACAGCTCATCTCTTTCCATCATCTCCTACACCGAAAACCCCACAAATCCACTAGCCATTTCAAACCCACCATTGCTTTGGCTACCAGTAATAGATCTGAAACGCCCCTTATGCATGAGTGAAGCCTATAACCAGTTCTAAGTTTTTGCTACTGGTGCCCAATGTCATGCCTGTAAGGCTGTAACTAGCTAAAATATTTATTGGGGGTTGTGAGTTTTGGTTGTCCCACTAGTTTGCTTCCATAAATGATCTCCCATGTATTGAAACTAAAGATTAGTGACTAGTTCAACTACTAAAGGGCATCTTATGGTAGAATCTTCTTGCCCAAACCAAAGAGGGCATTTTCGATCATAGAGGATAAGTTAGGGATTTTTGAAAAATATAATAGTCATGTGATGTCACATGCGAATAGTATATGACAAAGCATTATCGGTAAGGGAGGTTTTAAGCAATTGTTAGAAATAGTAGGCGTGGTGCAAGACAACAGTTAAGCAATAAGGGTATACTTAATCAATTAGCTAAACAGTAGGGGTAATTTAAGAAATTTGCCCAAATTTAAAACTATGTCATATTAGAGTAAGATGGATATAAATGTTATAAGAAAGGGGTTGAGAATAAGAGTGAGAAGAGGATTGTTGGCTAAGAAAACTTTAAAAAGAAAGAAGGTTGAGAGGAAAAAAAATTGACCTGTAGCGGTGATGGCAAAGGCAACCTGTAGCAGCAACGGTGATCTAGAGCAACGACCATAATGATCTGATATCTCTCTCTCTCTCTCATCTCAAATCTATGAATGATTAAATCTGAGATCTTTCTCAGGTCTCAGGTGTGAGATCGTTCTCCTTTCATTCTATGTTTCTCTATTTTATTATTTTATTATTTTTTGAAAATTTTAAATAAATTATATTAAACTGCGAATTGTTGTCTGGGTCGAACAACTCAGCAGTCAAGACCGTCCAAATCAACAGTTTGTTGATCAATTCAGCAGTTTTTGGTAAAATAAAGGTTCAGTATTAAAATGGAATCATTACCTTGGCCATTTTCAGACCAAATGGTCCGAGCATCCAATCGGTCTGGTTTTCAAAGCCATGCTTTCTACCTTTAAACAACTTTAAAAAATGGCACGGAAATAGAATGGCTTTTGTCATCGGTTTCTAAGTCAATGGTTCAATCATCCGGGTCGAACGATTCAACCTGTGATATCATAAATATAATAGTAAAATTATAAAGCATTTTTTAATAGAATAAATTTCATCACAAAAGTAAACATAAACATGTTTGAATCACAGTTGCAACCCATACTAAAATGAGAATGAAGATGATAATCTATCTATTAGCAAGAATACATCGTCTAACAGGAATGGCACAAAATCAAAATTGGTGTGGGAGGTTAAGATTCAAATTTGGAAACTTGAACTTTTCTCTCTTCTTCTTTAAACAAAATCAAAATTGGTGTGGGAGTTAAGATTCAAATATGGAAACTTGATCTATTCTTCCCCAAACAAAATCAAAATCGTTGTGGGAGGTCAGTATTGAAATCTGGAAATTGAAACTTTTCTCACTTCTCCAAACAAAATCAAAATCAATGTGGGAGGTGAAGATTCGTTGTAATCCTTGAATCACCTCTACAAATGGCATAGCTACAACAGTAAAATGAAACCTCAAGCTACGTCATTGTTGCAAGCCTAAGCCCTCTAAGGCTGCCGTTGCAAATGATGGTCATTGATGCAAGGATAGAGGGAGATTGGACATAGGGCGTCGATGTCTTGATGGTCTCCTTTAAAGCCATAGGTCGCCGTTGAGTCTGGTCGAGAAATATTTGAGATTTAAGAGTCTTTGAGAAACAAGATTTCTGTAAAACGGTATTGGTCGAATGAGAAATAGGACTGAAATGTCCTTTTCATACCTATATAATTTTATTTTATGTTTAAAGTAATGTTAAAAGTGACATGCGAACCATTGCCCGGGTCAAACAGTTCAAATGGTTGAACCATCTAGGTCAGTGGTTTTATGACTTTTTTAATGTTTATTAGCAAAAAGCAGTCTAGTGCATAATCAGACTTGGGAATGACAACAGGGAGGGTTCAAGGCAGGGCATCCACTCCCCATCAAGGATAAAAAATCCTCGAATTCCCTCACCCCGACCAACCACCTAAAAATACATCTAATTTAAACATATTTTAAAAATAGGATTATGAGAAATTGGGGTATTTTGGTAATTTGGGGGTATTATAAAAATGGATTTATGGGATCCTAGGGTTTTAAGAATTTGGGAGAAATTTAGAGGTATTTTAGATATTAATATTAAACATTTTACTAGTTTACCATTGGGTTCAGAGTAGGTTTGGGCAATTATATACAAAACCCCGTTCCTTCCCATACCCAGTTTGGACTTTGGAGAAACATTATTTTCCCTATCCCTGCTTCATTCTTGTTTAAGATTGGGGAAAACCTGCCCCATTTAAGCTAGAGAAGGGCCTCAATTTTATAGGAAAATTTTCGATCCTTAATCTGACCCAGAACCTCGACCAGTTCCTGGGTCAAAATGGCCCGACTGTCCAGTCTAGCCCGTTTTTTTCAAAATAGTAATTTTAAGTCTTGACTTTTGACTTCCGTGCACACAGACTCCCTTTGCTATAAGTAGGGGAACAAGTCTTACGAGTTGGGTTTATAGTCAATCCAAGCCCAACCTAAGATTTGGGCCCTAAATCCCTGTGCCCAAATTGATCCCCATATATTAAGCCCGACCTTTCAAACTCAGAACCAGCCAGCACAATAATTTGATGTATTTTGTTGGGCCTATGTGTATGTATATATGCATTAATACAAATGATCGTCACTATCACTTATGTCCTATCCTAACTATATCAATATGCATTAATACAAATATGTATGCATAATTGAAGAGTGCCTTTATTTAAAAGAAAAGACAACACTAAGCTTCCAAGCAAAACATAGGCCCCTTCATGGGGGAACAAGGCCTCATAGGTCGCAAAAAACGAATAGGCTGAGAAGGTTGGGTCGAAGCTTCAATATCTCTTACAATTGAGAGGAAAGGAGAAAACACTTGCTTCTAACCCAGGAGGTGCTGAACCATTGCTTTAGCATCAGATATAATGATTGGATTCCAAAGTTCAAGCCTAGTCACCTCGGACATGGCCAATGGCCTGAGTTTGGCTTCATGAGCGGACCCACAATCATCACTCCACCAGTAGCACAACATAAAGATCTTGGACTCTGCATAATTACACACACAATGCCAGCTTTCCGAGACAGACGATTGGGAGAAGGCCACATCACAGAGGATATAATGATCATAGCTGCCAGATGGATAGAAAGCTTCTTAATGCCTGATATGATTAGTAGGGTGTTTATCATTTTCAACTATCTATACTATTTTAAAAAGCATAAATAGATTCAAGAATTTTTTAAGGACTGTCCATGAAAGTAGGGGTGACCATGGGTAGGGCCGGGTTTAGCACTAATGGTAATTACTTTTTCCTAGGCTCGGGCCTAACTCGATCCTCACCCCATGCCTAGTTTGCAAGCCCAAGCCTGCAAAAAAAAATATGGCATGAGCCCAAGGTAAATTGGGCTTGGTTAATCTTTGGGCTTATGCACCAAAAAAGGCATGAGCCTCATTTAATTATCAAAATTGATTTGGCTTGGCTTACCTATCCTTTTATAAATGAAGGCAAGACCTCCATTCCCATTCTTGAGCAATGTCGGAATTAGGACAACACTAAATAATGAGTGTTACCAATAAGTGTTTTCCTAAATCCTACATAGCTTAAGCAATGAGGATGGCCTTCATTTATATAAAGTCCTCCCTAGGAGGACAATTTACATACTTGAGTTGGCTCAAGTGTTTACATATGTATTGACATGTGCCAACTAATTAATATTTATTTATAGTTAAAATTTAAAATTTTTATATTTTATATAAAATAATAAACATTTAGTATAACATAAAATATACTTGTATATATATAACACATATATAATATAATGTTATAATATATATTATATTATATTGTGGGCTAGGCTGGGCTTGAAGTGTTGGGCCTAGGCCTAGAAATTTGTGGTTTGGGTCGGGCTAAGCCAAGAATGATCACCCCTACATGGAAGGTCTCGAAGGTAAGAGAAATAGAACCCCGATTAGTATTTTGAGCTTCATGGGCTAGTCAGTCAGTAGCATGATTGGCTTCTCAAAATACATGTTTATAAACAATGCCTCCCTCAAGCAAATCTTTCAGCTCTAGGTAGTCATTGAAGATATTCTTCAATCTTGAAGGAGGGCTGAGCACATAATGATAGAGTACTCTCTCAAGCAATGTTTTAAAAATCGACATAGAGTTAGAACTGCTTTGGCCACCAGTTTCTGGGTCAGCGGTTTGACCATCTAGTTTGAATGGATGACCTATTTTAAATTAAAAAAATAAAAAAATTAATTAAAATAAAAGCGACCAAAATCTTGGGTCAATAAGTTATTGACCAAATCAACAATTTTTTGCCAAAGGACATGTTAAGGGTGAAATGGAACTGGTTGCTTGGACGGTTCCTGAACCAAATGGTCCAACCATCCAATTCAACAATGGTTCAAAAACCTCATGCTTCAGCCATGTTAATCGTGGTAATTCCCAAGTTGCTTGGACGGTTCCCGAACCAAGCAGCCCACACTTCAGCCATGTTAATCGTAGTAACTCCCAAGTTATAAGTTTTAATGTCCAAAACCTCACTAAGATGCCACATAGCATCTATATATGCTGCCACATGACATATATAAATGCCACTTGGCATATATAGATGCCTACATGGCAATATAAGGATGCCATGTGGCATTTAAAGTCAAGTTAATGATACATGGATACCATAGGGCACACACATGTCACTGAATACACTAATGTGCTTATGATTCCATGTGTAATTCATATATGATTCCACATGTTGAAGTCTATAAGTATTATGCGTGTGGTTGATGCACACGTTTTAGAAAGTATAATTCATATCGAAGAATCAAAAAGTACAAACTATCAAAAGTTGATTTCATGTTTTTCATGTATTTTATACTTTTATTGTGTTTTTTAAAAGTAAAAACACGTCAAACAAACATGATCTTGTACTTTTCATATTTTCATACTTCTAAAAGTATAAACAATACCTTGAAAAGTACAACCAAGGGCATTAATGTTTAATGTTCCATCTTTGGGAAATTTCCACTCAATGGTCTCCATGATTTGATCATCACATTTGTACTCATAATATTCACACCAACTTCACAACACTTGCAACCACACATTAGGAATATGTCTCGTACATGTATATTGTCATCCGTGGGGAGATATTCTCAATGCACAAATGCAATGTGCTGTGAGGCTCTCTCAGGAGCAAATCCGAACATGATATTGGGTGGACCAATAAATTGTTAAAAGCTTTATAGTTTATGCTCTTTTACTCTTTCACAAATACCAGAGAATAAAAGCAAACTTTTCCTTATTATAGTCACCACTAGACCCATTAATGTCACTAATATTTGACCACCACTCCCTTACAAATGAATACTTTTCTTTAGGACCTTTAAAGTATATGATTAATTGCTAGCCAATTTTTTTTTTTTCGGTAGAGAAATGATTATACTAAGGAAAGAAACAAAGTAGTTACAAAGAGGACAGTGAGATCATCCAATTTGCTAGCTAAAAAGGGATCGCGTCTGTATATAAACCTGTTTCTGATAACTCTTTTTTTGCAAGATTGTGAGATAGCAAAGTAGTCTCCCGCCTGGAAAAAGAAAAAGAACAGTCCAGATCTTTACATTCATCCAGAATATCTTTACAAAGAAAGAAAGCTTTAGGAACTTCAATAGGATTCTTTGAGATCAAAGCCTGCACTAAGGATTTGCTATCACTTTCTATCACAAAAGGACCCTTGCTAAAAGCCTTCACTAACTTAACTCCTTGAAGACAGGCACAATCAAGTTTGTCTCACAAAAATATAATTTTTAAAAGGATAAATTGCTGAAACCTCCCCTGAAATTTCTGACCATTATTGAATCCTCCCTTGAAGTTTGATAATTACAATCACCTCCCTTAAGCCTTTTGATATAGTTGCAAGTAGACCCCCTCTATTAGAATCTTCTAAAAAGAGGCACAAAAATGTCCAAAATACCCATGCATTTATTATTGAGGCTGGTTTCTACAAAAAAAGAAACAATACAAATTTTATAAACAACAAAAATATAGAGAATTTAAAGTTGCATCTTTGCCTTTGGATGATTGATATGAAGGGTAAATTTGGAAAATAAATCAATTTCAGAAAATATATTGGAAGCTTTGGGCTAGCAATTCACATGAGGAGAAAATTTGAAAAATAAACATTTTGATCAAAAGCAACTACATGAGTATTTTGGACATGCCTCTTTTTAGAAGATTCTACCAAATGGGATCTACATGCAACTATGTCAGAAATGCCAGGGGTGACTGCAATTATCAAACTTTCAGCAACAACCAAAAACTTTAGGGGAGGTTTTAGCAATTTACCATTTTTAAAAATATGGTTGGTGTCCTCTTCTCCATAATGGTTGTAGGAACCATCAACGTTAGCCCCTTTTTTTCTTACAAAACTTTGTAGGAAGCCTGTTATTAAGGAGAAAAAACTAAAAGACTTTTTACTTTTGGTGGCACTTAAGCTTCCACATTTGGAATTCCACCTAAAATTTGCTTCAAGGCTTCAACTTGAATCACACTTAGCATTGTATGCGAATTTAGAGGATGTTTGGTATTGTAGTCACTTTTCTAAAAAATGGTGCCACATCGGATCCATGTAGGCGATTCCACTTTTCACTGCCTACATGACTTTGATTTAGGCAATTTTTGAAAAAATAGTGAAAAACAGGCATGCATCGTAAATCGCATCCCTCCTATTGCATGAAACATCAAATTTGGTGTTTCATGCATTGGCAAACCGTTGCCCCCAACTGATGTGGCGCTTATGTGTATCCTATTTGTCAATGGAAAAATGGTGTAATGTGTGCACATACATAAAAAAATAGTGACGGAAATCACCTTACAAAACAACATTAGTGTTGCTTACTACCTACATGGCAGAAACACTACAAAACATATGAAGGTGTTTATTTGTGAAAAATGGGTTTAGTGAGTGTAGACAATGTTTTTGAAAATTGGTCCCAAAAAACGCCCGTGCTTCGGAAAACCATCTTAATTGAAAAAGTACCATTTGGGTATAGTCTCCATATCCTTTTGTCATCTTTGCTACAGAGGGAATGAAAATAAACTTGATCCTTACCCAAGAAGGCCTAGTGGCCCACCCTATTTCAAGCACACCTTAGTGCCAACAAAGATGACAAGAAGTTGTAGATCATACTGATAAGACCCATCAATAAAAAAGGGTAAATTATAGATAGACACCATGTACTTTGGGGGTAGTGACAGATAGATACTTGAACATTCAATTGCAACACTTGAGTACCCTAAACTTTCAAAATAGACACTTGGGTTGGGTTTAGTATTCCGTTAGTTAAACATTACATAATGTCAAAAATACCATTCTATGGTGATGATTTTATTCCCTAAAATGATCTAAAAAATACACGAAAAGGGCATTTTTGAGATTATGTAATGTTTAATTGACAGAATACTAACGGATGGACTCAAGTGTATTTTTGAGAATTCAGGGTACTCGAGTGTTGCAATTGAAAGTTCAGGATACCTATCTGTCACTAAGGTACGTATCTGTAATTTACCCTAAAAAAAGACTCAGCATTCAAGTATCCTCTATGAAGTAGGCAGTTTCTGATCCCATTACTCCAGTAATCTAGTTCTAATTCCTGGCTCAAGGTCCATCAGACATGAGACACCAAGCTGGAATTTGTTTTGCGTCATTTTTCTTTTTTCAGATTGCCATGTTCAACATTTTGCATAGTGGTAGAAAACTATGAAACCTTTATGATATGTAGTTTATCATACAAATGTAGGCTGAATTGTATTAAGGCTATGAGTAGCAGAGATATCTATGACACCTAAAAATTGAGAACAGTGCGGTGATCAATTCCAACTCGTCAGGCCTAATTTGTCAGCAACATTGTACATGACTAGATCCCCCCATATAGGGCCAAAGAGGCGCTCCCCTCCGATAGCAAATGTAAGAGCCCATGAAGAAAGGAGGACCGTGAACACAATGAACCCAATTGCTGATCCAACAACATCTGCAAAATGGAAGATCACCAAAAGGTCCAAAACCATTAAAGCATAAACACATAGCTTAAGCTTGAATAAACGAACCTAGAAAATTCCATCAAATCATCTCCTAGATGGCCAGTAAAGAATTCTCATGACATAAAACACAACCAGAAAATAACTTCAGAATTTAAGTATGGGTAAACAAAAGAAAATTTGAACACAGCAAATCAATATAAACTGAAAAACATTTTAATATGAATGAAATGCATTCATTTTTTTAAAATCTAACTTTTCTTTTTGGCTTCATGGGGCTACACAATGGGGGTAGCCCATCCCCCAAACCCTGGTGGCAGAGGGATTTACAATTTCAACCATGAGAAATTTTAGTCTTAAAAAAGAGAGGTTTCAAGAGAAAATTCAAAATGTTATGACTAATGTTATGAATGTGGTGAGGCAGCTAGTTGTTTTGGCCTCTCTAGATGATGAGATGACTAGTGGGAACCTAATCCATGAAAAAAGAAGAAAAACTAACATACTATGCAATCTCATAAACAAGTTGATATAGACCGCAATTGTGCAATAAAAAGAATGATTTTTGAACATTTAGTTTAGCCGTCTACCAAAGAAAGAGTGAAACCTTTACAACATACCCATTATTCCTCGAAACTATGTAAAAACATGCTATAGCTTGGAAGAAGACTTAAAAGAACTCCTCTTGTGAAGATATATCTTGATGTACATTATTAGAGTAGTCCTTGTTGTATAGTATCATAGTTCTTATTATTTTATTTGTCCATTTTATCTTTCAGCCCCGTAAGGGCATTCTTGTAACTGTACATTCTTTTTATCTCTTTAATATAAAAGAAGCTCTTTGGGGTGGGGGTTGACTATTCTTGACACCCCTAGATCTGGTTTCTTCTAGATCTGAATTCTGTTCACATGGTATCAAAGCAGGTTGCTCTTTGATCTTCCTTCTCTCTGATCCATCATAGTTCTTATTATTTTATTTGTTCATTTTATCTTTCAGCCCTGTAAGGGCATTCTTGTAACTGTACATACTTTTTATCTCTTTAATATAAAAGAAGCTCTTTGGGGTGGGGGTCGACTATTCTTGACACCCCTAGATCTGGTTTCTTCTAGACCTGAATTCTGTTCACATGGTATCAGAGCATGTTGCTCTTTGATCTTCCTTCTCTCTGATCCATCTTGCCTTTGTGATCTACTGAAAACCTACAGCTCTGCCGAGTGGTCCTGGGCTGTTTTGATCTATCCAGGAACTCCTCTTCTGTTTTTTGTGCACCCAGAGAGAGATTTTATTGGATCTCTCTTGTTTGATCTCCGTTTGTAGCAAGAATTGAAAGGAATTGTCGCCTAGCCCTTCTCGACATATTCTGAAATTTTTACGGAGATCCGTGAAGTTTTGAGAGAGATCTAGACTCTTTTTCTTGGCTGCTATGCCCAGACTTTCCTTTTCTAGACTATGTGTTCAGCTTTTCCTTGTTTTGGATCTTGAACAATCTCCGGTGAAAGTAAGGGGTTTCTATCTCAGTTTTTTTTACTCTCTTGGATTGATTACAGCCTATTTCACTTGTCTTTGGATCAAGTTTTACTTCAGATTAGTTTCTTTAAGCTTCAGCCGGACCCCTATTTGTGTTATTGCCTTGCTGTAATGGCTTCAGACAGAGGTGATATCATCCCTGTAAAGATGAATGGATAGAACTATGGGATGTGGACGTTCCACTTTGACTTTTATGTTGAGGGAAAGGGTTTAGAAGGATATCTGAATGGAACGGTCACCAAACCAGTTGAGACCGAGGCCAAAGCTTTACAACAATGGAAGTTGGACAATGGTAAACTTGTTTCTTGGATTCTGAGTTCTATTGACTATCATATATCTGTACCTATGAGGAGAATGAAAACAATATATGAGATGTACATGTATCTAGAAAAATTTTATCAACAGTCCAACATATCTAAGCAATATTAGATAGAATCAGAAATATTCTCTTACAACCAAGGAGATAGGAGGATACAGGAGTATTATTCTGGTTTTCTTGATTTATGGGTTGAATATGAGATTGTTCACATTGAACCCTCGAATCCAGTGGAGTGTGTGAAATATCTTTAGAAGCACTTTGAGAAGAGAAAGGTGACTCAGTTTTTGATGAGACTTAGACCTGAATATGAGATAATCAGGTCCAACATTCTAAGTAGGGGAACACTTCCAGATATGGATTCTGTTTTAGGGGAACTTCTGAGAGAAGAAACTAGACTTCTCACTGCAGCCGGGTTTGATGGGAAGATGGCTGAAGTTGGGGCTAAAATAGCCTTTGTTGCTCATGGGGGTAAGAAGCCAACCTCCAAGGACCTCTCCAAAATCCAGTGCTATGAGTGTAAGGGTTTTGGACATATTGCATCTCACTGTAAGAAGGAGAATGTGTATACCTATTGCAAGCAACATGGTCACATCATTCCAAACTGTCCAGTCCGACTAGCTAAGGGCTCTCAGAAAAAGACTCAGTCCCGAGCCTATCAGGCAACAGATGGACCAGCAACAGACACTGTATCTACCAAGGGTGAGTCTTCAATGAAAGGTGAATCAACAGGTGTCGTGGATGAAGAAAGGGTTCGACAACTGGTATCTTCTACTATTTCCTCTGTTTTCTCTACTATTGGCTTGTCTGGTAAGTTCTCTGCATATTGTTCTTCCCCTTCACATGCTTGGATTATAGATTCAGGTGCCACCAACCATATGACAGGAGCCTACCTCAACCACCCAATCCCTTCCACTAAAACTCACCATAAACATATTATTACTGCTAATGGTGAAAAGTTAGACATCATTGGTAGTAATGATCTGTCCCTTCAACTGTCACCAACCAGATCCATTCCTCTCTCCAAAACCCTCTTAGTACCCAACCTTACTACTAATCTAATTTCTGTTGGTCAACTTGTTGATGAAGGAAATGTTCTCACCTTTTCTCATGATGGTTGCTTGATACAGGACCGGTACACTAGGAAGGTGAAAGGGAAGGGGCGTAGGCTGGGCCGTCTGTTTGCGTTGGAGTTCGAGAAGTCTCAATCGGGGGCATCCTCAACTTTACTTAGTTCTTCTTTGTCTGATTCTATGTTGAATTATAGAAATAATGTTTGGGATTTATGGCATAAACGATTGGGTCATCCATATTCCCAAAAATTAAAATTTTTGTTAGACTCTGGTTTGATTAAAAATAAAATTCCCCCTGTTGATACTGTTGATGTTTCTTACACTACGTGTTGTTTGAGTAAAAGTCATGTTTTACCATTTCTTCATAAATCTGAACATGCCACTAAACCTTTTGAGATAATACATAGTGATGTTTGGTCTACTTCTATTACTTCAAGATTGGGGTACAAATATTTCGTATTATTTATAAATGATTATACCAAATATACTTGGATTTATTTTCTGTGACACAAATTAGAAGTCTTTGGTGCATTTAAATCGTTTCATACTATGGTGCAAAATCGATTCAAGTGCAATGTGGCTATCCTCTGCTCAGATTCAGGGGGAGAATATAGAGATGGAGACTTCTTGGCATATTTGAGGAGTCATGGAATTTAGTCTCAGCGCAGCTGCCCAGAAACTCCACAACAGAATGGTGTAGCTGAACGGAAGAACGGACACATTCTCAGTGTTGTGCGGACATTACTACAGGAGTCTCATACTCCAACTTCGTTTTGGGTAGAAGCAGCCAATACAGCCGTGTATTTGATCAATTTTCTTCCATCCTCTGTTCTAGGCAACACCTTTCCCTTCCAAAAACTTTTTGGTTATTCCCCATATTTCTATAGCCTTCATGTTTTTGGATGTCTTTGTTTTGTTCATCTTCCTGTTCGTAAACGATCTAAATTAATTGTTTAGTCTGTTATGTGTGCCTTTGTGGGATATAGTCCTAACCACAAAGGATTTTTGTGTTATGATGCTGCTATGCGTCGTATTCGGATTTCTTGGAATGTTGTGTTTCTTGAACATATCTCCTTTGCTAGGGTTGCTAGATTGTTTGCTCCTTCCATCTCTGTTTTATAGGACTTTGATTCAAATGACACTGTTACTTCCTCAACCAAGAGAGATCTTGTCTTCACCCGCAAGCGGCTACGTGTCCCAGCTCCTGTGCCTTCAACCCCCCTTTCCACCCGGTCCAGAGCATTCATCTCAGATATCCTCTGTAAGTGATACCTTGACCCAAGATCCTCCTATTTCAGATAGTAGTTCAGCTATTCCACTTCGTCGTTCTACCCATATCTCTAGACCTCCTGACCGCTATGGTTTTCCTTCAAATCATAGTTCTTATTCTCCTGTACTTTCTTCCACATATATCCCTAGATCTTATCAACAAGCCATTAGAAGTTCTCAGTGGAAAGAAGCTAGGGATGCCGAAATTCAAGCCCTCCATGAGAATGACACTTGGGATCTTGTGCCAGCTCCTCCAGATGCTTCTATTGTTGGAAGCCGTTGGGTCTATATGATCAAATTGAAATCAGATGGCTCTCTTGATCGATATAAGCATGGTTTCAAATATCGCCAAATGTCGCTATTGTCGCCCGACATATGTCGATGTTGAGGCTCACCAACATGAAAATGGATGGTAATATAAAAATTACATTATGTTGATCATTTCCTATATTTCGGAAATGTTGACCAAATTGGTCCAAATAACAAAAAAAAATACAGTTTTTCCTATTATGTCGACAAGATGTCGACTAATGTCGATAGGATGTCGACTAATGTACATTAAAAATATAATATATTAGTATACTATATTAATATAATACAGTATATTAATAAAGATTATTCCATTAATAATTTCTATTTAATATTTCAAATAAAATATTTATAAAAAGAATTAAAAAAATATAAAAACAAAAGAATAAATTAATTACTTTATAATATAATATAAAACATAAAATGTTTTTCAAGTAATAAAATATTAACTAGTTAGTATTTTTAAAATATTTTTTAAAATCAGAAAATGTTTATTAAATT